ATTCTCTACAGCTGCCTCACCGTAAATACTCCTTTCTATTTTTGTGCATTTACTGAATTCATTTTCTATTCGTATTCAATCGGTTTGCTTTCGGTACAAGTTTTGGATTATTCTAATATCTTTCCTAGATTAATCAAATTTACCAAACAGTTCAAATAATCTTTGTGACATACTTCAACAAACACCTTTGTATAATCTATAAGACATAGGTATACATCCTTCTGCATTTGTATTGCTCTTCTGATATAATTCTTAGCATATAAATATCGCATTCATTGTTCCGGTGTCTTCAATGAAACCGAACTGTTCTTGTCCTATTTTTGACTAATTCTACTGCTCTGCCCGTCAAAATTCGGATAAGTTTCGTTATGTGGCTCGTTTGACTGATTGTAGCTGAGGTTTCCAGAATCTCTATTACAATTCTATCTGTCCCTGCTGATTTGCCCCCTGTTCAATTTGGCCAGTGCAGATTTTACATCGGACTTCTGCTCCTTATTTTTATGTATTGCGAGTTTTCCTCTTTCGTCCTAGAAAATTTCACCGGTGTATTCATTCCACCTTTGAAGTATTTTTCCCTATTATCAGCGTTCCCCCCTTTTTTTATTTCATGTATCTTGTCGATGAGCATATTTTTTGTTTTGTTAGTTCCCTTATTGTTTTATGAATACCTGCCTTATCTGTCATGCACATTCTTTCTGCGTACGTTTTGTTCCTATTTTGCCAGCCTGCTTTTGTTTCTACTTTCTTTATATAATGTCCTATATCCTGCACCACACCTCATTTAGTTCATTGTATATGCTTTTAACGCTGTTAGCAAATATCTCTTTGCAATTTGGTTTATTCGGGAGTATGTCGTATTGTAATCTGGGTGCTCTCTCTTCAATTTACGTAGTTTCACTTTAAGGTTACATATCATATATCAAGGTAGTCACTCCCGCAATCAACACTCGGTTATGTAAAACTGCATTCCTGAATCTCTTATTGACTCTTATTTGGTTCTGCATTTCTTCCCCGCCCTCGTGCTTGCCTATGCTATAAGCGTCTTAGATGTACTTAAAACCAGGTGTTGGCTGCTACGTGGCCGTTAGCCGTACACTATTGGACCCATTTTTTCCATGTTAATTACGGGTTACTAGTTCGAATTCATCATTTATTTCACCATCTAGCTCTTTACCTAGTTTGGCATTCAGGTCCCCCAGGAGGATTGTAATTTCCTGCAATTTACATTGAGCCTTGGTGTTGTCCAATGTGGAGCAATTCTTTTCATTTTCTTCCTCCGCTCTTTGTATTGTTGTGGATTCCGTGCATGGAATCCTGTACAAATAAATAAACAACGCCAGTAATTGAGATAGAAAAATAGGTGTATTAAACGTAAGAATACAGACTTGAAGTGAAAATTAGTAGTCCAGGAATGCGGGTTAGTAGAATGTATATGTACAAGTATCTGTAAGTAAAGCCGTAATATATATATATATATATATATATATATATATATATATATATATATGGGCCTGGACGGATCAATTTAATATTAGCTCACGCTCCAAGTGGCCATTCCCCATAAGAGACCATCCTCCAGGCAGTATCCTTCCTTTCAGGAGGGTATCGGTACCCGGTTCCCAAAAGCAATTGAGCAATTTTTGCTACATTTCAGAATTCCCACAAAAATCAAATGTGACGTGGGTGCCTGAATAAGTCCCTACAGATGGCGAATAATTTAATAATTTTTACTGTCTGTGTTTGCGTATGTGTCTCTCTATATGCGTTTCTTTTAAAATGAAAAAAGTGACTAAGATTCTTAATAATTGTGACCTGCTCATAATTTCAGACTGCTTTGTCATTGTCGTAATATTCTTAATATTCTATTTAAGCTCAATCAGTTTTTACCTTTCTCCTTTTTTATTACGGCTTGAATATTTTTTTTCTATAGCAAAAGGATATTTTTGTTTGAAAATAAAATCAGTTAAACTCGTGTTACGATTATTAATTTTAATATAAAGGGAATATGTTTGCGGATGGGAGTTGTTTAAATTACTGAGGTATTGTACCTGAGTTGTTTTCTGTAATCTAATAATACAAATCTTGTTGCTATCGTATGAGTGAAAAAGCGACTTAAATATAAAGTTTATTTTTAAAAAAAGGGGGCATTAGTTTGAGAAGGGAGATAAGATTGTTTTAAAAATGCATCTTTAATCAATACATTATTATAAGACACACACACATCTCATGTAGTATTTGAATGTTTCGTCTACGTTTATCTTTCAGATAATGGCAAATATTGGGAAAGACAAAAAATCAGAGAATGAAGAAAATATGGACAATTCCAAAAACCATGAATTTAGAATATGTTCGGACTCTGAAAAGGACAGATCCTATCCCATTTCAAAAGAAAGCTTGCATCTAATCAATCCAAATTCGTTGAAGAAATGTCAGAGCGACTGTCTAGCCAAGAACCAAAAACCTTGTGAATTCTGTTCTCTTTCCGAACAATTACGACATTTTTACGAATGGTTCCCCAGACTCGGTGAACAGAACAAACGAATTTGTCTCCTTGGATTGGTACATCGTCTTGTTGATAATCCGGTTCTTTTGCGACGGCTCTGTGAAGTTCTCTCACCGACGACACGAAAAGATTTCATGTATGCAAGCAGCAAGACAGCGCCTAGTCTGGAGACAGATTCAAGTACCGTGAGCAGCGATCGAACCCTAACAACTACCTTTGTCAATAAGGCTGTGCTATTGATGTGGGATTGGTACGAGAAGGCGTTTATTTGGTCTAAGGTGAATTTTCTGATGGTTGTATTGCAATCGTGTGACGTCCATCTTTTGCATATTGTTAACAATTATGCCAAGGCTTTGCTGGACAATCAACATGAACAGATAACTCCGGCGCCAAAACAGGATTCAGGTAAATTTGTTTTTGTAGAATTCCGATCAAATGAGGCAATTATGATTCTTTTTAATTCCATATATCATCCTTACTAATTATAATGATTTTCCGGTTATAGTTAACGTTCACAAAATCAAAGACAAGTACGACACTTTAAGAAGAGAAGTAATATAAAGACTGTATATTCTTCAACGGTTATAATGTACAGAAAAGGGTGTATGCATAATAAGTAAAGAGAATGCTTGCAAATATAATTTATATTGGCGGACTTAACTGTTAGGAGAATGTCCAAGGAACAAGGTCGGCTCGCAGCTTTTGTATCCATTAACGTCGGAAAGGACAGCTCTCAAAACGGCTGTCAGTTCCAAAAAGAAAATTTCAAAATTGAGTTTACCGCTTGGTACCGAGAAGGGCTCCTGATTGGACAGCAGTTAGCCAATAAAAGCCCCAGATTAGTGAGAGTTTCAAGTTCAAGGTTGATCTTTGAATGGTAAAGGATTAGCTCCCTTTATTATCCTTTTCAAATTCTTATATAACAGGCCACTTAGTTGAACTTTCGTTAACTTGTAAGATCAACCATTAAACCTGCTTATGATTATTACATTCCATTTAGTAAATAAAATCTGGACTGATATTTTATTATCTATAAATGAACTTATTTTATTAAAAGGAACAGACATTAAAAAAATAGACGCCCGCGCGCATGTTTGTGTGAGATAGAGAAACATTCATATTTGAACGGCAGTAGTAGTAGTTCTGTCTGAGAAACGTTTAAGAGGTAAATAAAAATGGTCGCTTTTGTTGAATTTCTATTAGGAACATGTATTAGGTGAGCCAACGAGTTTTCATTTGGCGCTTATCTGTATTAAAGGACTTTGAGTGGCTCCTCTGAAGCGTTCAAAAAGTGTGTATAGAAATGCACGTTTGTATGTGTGTATGTAAGGGGGGTCTATGTGTGTGTGCGTTTCGTAAAATTCTAGTTGATGCCTCCCAGAAGTCAGACAGTTGAACAAAGCTTACTGCTGATGAATGAACATGGTGGCTATATGATATACAACGAACTTCAAAAAGCACTAGATTGACTAGAAAAAAAAGCATTAAAATTCCATTTTTATGATAAAAAGTGATAATGTTAGTTACTTTTAATTAATTAATATTTTATATATCAAAAATCAATTTGTAAACAAGCATTAATGATACGGGTTGTTTCCAACATTTTAAATGATCATCGTTGTGACCGAATTACTATTGAAAGACCTAGGCGCTAATTTTAAGCTGCATACAAGTGTTGGTAATATGTATATGTCTAGTTTCCGAAGTTATCCCTCTCAGAAAGTACCTTCTCATGGAACTAAAATGAGAGAAACTGTTATTTCCAATTTGCTGCATACATGGCTGGCTTTATTTTTGTTTTGTTTTGTTTGACTGCTTATCAACTTTTTTCAAGTTATTTAATGCTGAATTCTGTGGCTTTGATAAACAATAGATAGATCTCTGAAAGATAGTTAAAAAAGAAATATGTAAATATGCGAACTAAAGGGTCAACAAAACGTCATGAAGATGTTTCCATACTTAAAACTTCTTTATTTTAAATTTACAATACTCCACTATCATATACATATATATACCCAGGCTTTTTGTGCTACTGACCGAGTATCATGCAAGACAATTTTTACACGGAGCGGTGGAGTCGGTGGCGGACACGTGTATAACAGAATACAATAAACAAGACCGCGATAGTCAATAAAATGTTAAAAAAAAGGTTTTATTCTATCTGTGCGGTCCGGTACCATATGGCCCACGGCCCGGTACCATATGGTCCACGGCCCGGTTCTGGATCCGGTCCCGGTTCCTGCCAGGGTGGTTGGGGACCGCTAATATACAGTACATCACGTTGAAATGATCCCGTACAATCACCAAAGTTAAGCAACGTTGGGCCTGGTCGGTACCTAGATGGGCGACCGCTTGGATTTTTCTTTCTTTCTTTTTTTTTCACTCTAAGTTTCGATATGCAGGAAGCTAAGCAACGTTGAGCCTGGTCAGCACGTAGATGAAAACCGCATGGGAATACCAGGTACTGCAAGCATGATGTGCGGGTGGTATAATGAGCCTACGGTCACATCATGTTGAAACACCGGTTTCCGAACAATCACCGAAGTTAAGCAACGTCGAGCCTGGTCAGTGCCTAGAAGGATGACCTCTTGGGAATACCAGGAGCAGTAAATTTAGATGTACAGGTGGTGTAATGGATAATGGCTCAAAATTGTTAACCAGAGAGCCGAGTTCCAATTCTCGGTGGGTTCGTTATATTCACTTCCGAAAGGCATGAATCCACCTCTTCTCCACCCAGCTATGTGTCAAGTATTAAGACTTGTATCACTAAAATCATTATTACCTCCAAAAAATAAAATTGCATACAAACTATTTAGATTTCGGCATTAAATAATCCATAGAGTTTGATATGCCGCTAAACAAAACCAACTAACCAATTGTTGTGAAAAATCTCATCTCATAAATAATAGTTGATTAATTAAAAATAATATAAAAATTTCCGACCGTTTCGTGACTTTGGTCTATCTTGTACAATAGAATTCTATGGTTTTTAGTTCCATTCATTCTCCAAGTTCAATCAAACATACAAAAATACAAACTTAACTTGTCCAAAATCACGTTTGTTGTCATAACATATATAAAAGTAGTGTCAGGAAAAATATTTTGGTGTAATGCATCGCGTCTGCTGTTTGTTTCCAATATTCTCAGCTGTCTTTTTTCTTCCTTTCTTTTTTTTTTTTTATTCTCAAAACAGATGAATCAAACATCCAGGAACGCGTACAGACTTCACTAGCTGAGGTTGAATCCTCGAATCAAAACATCCTATGCCAAGATGCTGTATCTCGCAAAGATATGGAAGCCAGAAGTATGAAGAATATGTGCCAACCTCGCAAAATGAAGTCGACAGTCAGTGAGACCTACAGTGCCACATGTCAGTACAAAGATTTCATTTATTGTCTTCCGGCGCATTTGTCAAAATACATCCTCAGTCTTTTAGACGAGGCCAGTTTAACAAATACTTTAAAAGTGAGTCAGAAATGGCGTCAGTTGACCAAAGAAGTCATAGATGATTCCATTCTTGGGCAGCAAGTCCGCGAAGAAGCCATGGTTCTTCAGGTATGGAATTTTCGGTTAGTTTCTTTATCCCTGGTTTTCCTTTAAAACAAAATGGTAATAATTGATACTTCAGTAACAAACAAGAAAATTGTTTATAATCTATAGAAGATTATGACCATAAGTGAAAATTCTGATTATTTTGCAATATGTACATCAACATCAGAAATAAATACAGTGAATGCAAATCATTAATCGAACAATAAAGCATGAATGAAATAACGTTTAAAAAATAAGTAGAAATAAAGTAATTCTTTCTGAATAGAAACTATTTCGTCGCTCCTTCACCTTCTTTCTTTGGAATTAAATAGATTACTTTTTATTATTAATTTCCAGAAAAGATTACTAAGAAGAGAGAATGACAAAAGAGAGATGCATAGATAGATAGATAGATAGATAGATAGATAGATAGATAGAGGGTGTTGACGAAGTAATAAGGGTAGTTCTGTATGACTTATGACCATGACAAATTGTAATAATTTCTGAAACAGTTTAAATTATTCTCACACGGAGAAAATAATGAGATTGAAAACACTCAGGCAAAATTATTCTTAAAAAAGACATTATTCTCGATCATCAGTCTTTGAATATCAAACAAGGAATATGGTTTTCAAGTTCACAGTGCCTGTATTTTTATGCAAATGAACATCGGACAAATGTAAAATGGAACTGGAACACAAGAATTCTTCTTTTCACGTCACAGTTAGTGCAAAACGATACAAGTAATTAATTATACATATCATTTTTTTTTAGGATGTCAGTAAATATTTTGCACGTATTTACTTTGCGTTAAACAGAACTGGTAATAACCGAAAGTCCATCCCCAAAAACATTGATGAAATATTCATTATATATATATATATATATATATATATATATATATATATATATATATATATTGCATATAAAAAAGAAAATCAAAGATACAACATATGAATAGACCTTTCTCCCCACAAGAATTAACCTTGCAAGCTTTGTCAACACCTAGGTGGATCTTTTTAATATTTTATATTATTAGGATTCACTTGGATTATTTACACACGGATTTTTACCTATATATATGTAAAATAACAATAATAAACAGCACTTACCGGCGTAAGAGTCCCAGCTAGCGTCCAGCTGGCAGACAAAAATAAAGCAGGTTGTAACTTAATACAAACCCTGCAAACTAACTGAGAAATCATGCTAGTATTTATATAGAAATACTTCCACTCAGGTACCAGCAGCCAATCACAGCCCAAGCAATGGACTATCACACTTTAGCATAATGAGATGCTCCATTGCACCATAAATAGCTCTCTTTCTCAATGCACTCGGCTTGCTCCACAACTGAGTGTTTATCTTGACCACGTGATTGTTCGACATGGCGCTGCGAACAGGATACATGACACCTGAAAATTGGGAACTCTTCTTCATTGAAGCAGGCATATCCACCGACTCGGCCAAAACTCATGCGACAAGGTTTGCGGACGAGAAGCTGACAATCGAGAGCCTTCAAATGCTGGATCGATCTATGCTTAATGAGCTGGGAGTCACATTAATGGGAGAAGCCTGTGTGTATCATCAAGCAGGCTAAGGAATCCACCACCCAGACAACCCGCATTCAGGCACTAGCAGCCAAGCCTCCTCATCTCGATCTCGAGATGACACCACAATAATTCAGGAAGTTCCGAATTGACTGGGATGTCTTTACCTTTTGCTCCAAGATGACAAATATGCCAAACTCCCAAGCTAATATTCACCTATACAATTGTGCTGATGAGGCTGTGCAAAACGCCATAATCAACACACACCCTGACTTCTTTACCACTGATCCAGATAAGCTACTTGACATGGTAGAAGTGTTGGTCACCCAGAGGTCAAGTCCTATTGTCCATCGCCTTGCTTTTGCCTCCATGTCTCAGGATGCGGATGAGCCAATACAAAGTTACCTTGTCCGCCTCAGAGCCGTAGCCGTTGATTGTAACTTTACCTGCCCATCGTGTGAACATGACCTGTCTGATATATACATCAAGAACCAGATCATCCGTGGAATAGCAAATGACACACTCAGGCTGACCTACTGGCCAAAGCTGGGGCAATATAATCCCTTTCAAGAGCAAAATATCCGTCATGTTGAGGCATTTGAATCAGCATTACGGGACCAAACCTCAATGGCCGGGGCTTCAGATACAACTGCTGCTCGTCTATCAACATACCGCAGACAGAAGGGTACACCACAAGCCAACGAGGCGATCCATACCAGCACCTATTGCAGCTGCAATGTTAAATCAAATCACCAGGCTTGCTTAGGGTGTGGCAGCCACCAGCATGGCACCTCAGGAACTGGATCACGCCGGCTAAAATGCCCAGCATGGGGAAAAACATGTAGTAATTGTGGGAAGCCCAATCACCTATCGAGGGTATGCCGGGCTAAGAAACTGGCTCAAGCGGTCAGGGAAAGCCTAGAGGCTAATGAAGCCGCCATGGACACACTTATCGCCCACATCACATTCAATCAAACGACAGGCACGTATACATCTAAAGACACAGGCCAGGTAAGGGAAATTGATGCATATGTTGTTCCATTCTCGCCAAAACCGGATCCCAGACAAATTAAGAATATCCCCAGAAATCACAGCACTAGGATGACAATCTTTCCTGACAGTGGGGCCACCATATGTCTCGGGGGACTTAAGCACCTTCTGAATATGGGGCTCACTATCAACAACCTCATTCCATCAAGAAAAGTCGTCCGAGCTGTGGGAGGCTTTATGCTTGTATGTCAAGGTTGGCTCCCAGTGGAATTCATCATCCACGGAAGAACAACTAAACAAGCCCTATACATATGCAAAAAGATTCAGCGGCTATACTTCAGCAAAGCAGCCTGCATTGATGTAGGGATACTGTCCAAAGACTTCCCGAAGCCAACAACTACAATATTACCCCAAACAACAATGCAACACATGCCCTCGACAAGCACACATAAAAAAATCAGACGTGAGCCCTAAACAATGCAAAGTCGAGGGACAACTTCCAACACGCCCCAAAAACTCCCTTTTCCCCAACAGAACAAAACATTGATAGGCTCAAGAATTGGCTATTGAATCAATTTGCCGAAACGGCGTTCAAGAACAATGGTGAATTCCACCGATGTCTGGCCCCACTGCACATATACACCTCAAAGAAAGAGCAGTCCCCAAAGCCAGACATAACCCAATTCCTGTGCCTTTTCACTTCAAAAGAGCCCGTAAGACAGGCCCTTTGGGAAGATGTGAAAAGGGGTATCATAACCCCAGTACCCGTCGGCATGCCAACTGATTGGTGTAGCACTATGGTAATTACCGCCAAGAAAAATGGCAAACCACGAAGAACCATAGACTACCAACACTTGAATTCACAGTGCAAACGGGAAACACACCATACAGGGTCACCATTCCAGCTAGCACTACAAGTGCCACCTAAATAAAAGAAAACAGTGTTGGATGCTGTTGATGGATATCACTCCATCCCCTTAGATAAAGAGTCCCAGCCACTCACCACCTTCATCACAGAATGGGGAAGGTTCATGTACCTGAGAATGCCACAAGGTTACCTAGCATCTGGCGATGCCTAAACCCGAAGGTATGATGAAGTAATAAAAGACATCCCCCGCAAAGTAAAAATCGTGGATGACATCGAAGGAGCCTTTTTTCACACGTTCGATTTTCTCCTCCATTGTGCAAAAAACGGCATCGTAATAAATAGAGAAAAATTCCAATTTTGCCAAGACACGGTGCAGTTTGGGGCCTCCAAATAACATCTTCTGGTGTAACCCCTTCTAAATACATGCTGGAAGCAATATTAAGCTTCCCAATACCAAAAACACTCACCGATGCCAGATCATGGTTTGGGCTGGTCAACCAAGTCGCTTGGGCATACTCACTAAGCCCAGTCATGCTTCCATTTCGTGATCTCGTAAAACGAGACTCACACTTTACATGGAATAAAAGCCTTGAGGATGCATTCCAGCATTCAAAGAAGGTCATAGTTGACTTAGTCCGAAAAGGCATCGCAACATTTCAAAAAGAACGAATAA